AGAGGTGGTGCAGGCTCCTACCCTGGGGGTTTTTAAGAGGAGGTTAGATGAACACCTTCCTGGGGTCGTTTGACCCCAGTGCTCTTTCCTGCCATGGCAGGGGGTTGGACTAGATGATCTTCTGAGGTCCCTTCTGACCCTAGAAACTATGAAAACAGTCTAAGGAAAACACTTCACTTCAAGAGCGGAAAGTTCCAGTGTTCCCGTTGCTTTTAGCCTCTGTCTACAATGTCAGTGGACTCCTCCCCTTCTTTGTTTAACTATGTCATATGTTTGTCGGACTAAAGACCAAAAAAATGCCATATTTTTCAAGTGGACTAAAAATGTGTAACGTAGTAGCTTTTAGCTTACTTAAAGGATTCAGAATCCCAAGAAGTCATATGGGGTAGGCATTCCTATGTAAAATATTTTCCTTTCCAGCAAGGTCTTTTAAAAAAAAATGCATTGAATGCCACACTCCAGAAACTTCAATCCAAATATCTTTTGATTTTAAAAATGTTAATACTATCCAGTAGGGATATTTCCTGCTTGGGTTTTAAACCATGCAAATATTATTGCTTGCTTGCTTTGAAAGAGAGAACATTTTCTTGTCAGGGGCATGTAGGGGGCCTATTCTTCTTTGCTTCTGTATGATCAAGCTGTTTTTAAGTATTCACATGCCCCATGGGAATAAATTGTTATAGATTTCATTAGATTTGGTATACCAGCCACCAACAGTGGTAATGGCACAAATGTTAAATGTAGGTTTTAAATCTGAATGTAGTGTTTCCTATGTAGATTTTAATGTGCAAGTTTGGCATAAAAAAAACTTCATTTGTAAATCAGAGTAAACATACACTTTCTCTCTCTCTCTCAAGGCATCAATAAAATGTAGTAGTTCAGTGCTCTAAATATGTCCATAATTGCCAGGAAATGTTTGATTTTTTTAGTCTGTGAACTCTTTCATCCTCAGGTAAAATCTACAGACAGCTGCTTCTTCTCTGTCAGATGTTTTGATGACACTGTTCACAGTTTTAAAGTTCCTAAAAACAATTCTCCTCAAACTAGAGAGGTAATTATTGACCAGTTTTTATTTTAAAAGGAGAGAATCCCAACCTAACTTTGAATGCAGCTAATTCCTGGTAGTTAATCCTTGAGCTCTGTTATGCTTTGGGTTTTAGTGCTCGGATCATTTTGATGTCAGGACAACCATACATTGTCTCCTGCTTCTCTGCCGGAAGAAAGTGATGTCAGGAAATCCAGTTCAGTCTACTGACTTTGCCTAAACAGCAGTTATTTTTTTGCCCAGATGTTTGTAACAGAAAATTTAACAGCTTCCTCAAGTAGTTCCTTATTTCAGATGAGAAGGAACTTTCTTACTAGTAGTGTGTTTTATTTCCAGTCTTGCCATTGGGCCCAAAGCTAAGACCATTAAGGCCACAACTTGTAAATACCAAATACTTATCTAGTAGGCTTGAATAAGAATACAATACTCGACACGTATGTAATATGGTGTGTACATGTGTAATTTTATATACACATTTACTGACGGTGTATATTATAGTTTAGAGATGTATAAAAACATACAAATATACATGTATGTATATTTATATATTCTTACATATCCCTAAACTCTTAAAAGTGAAGCAAGACCCAAGATGTTATCCTCCCACTCTGTTCGGCCTTGGTGAGGGCCACAGCTGGAGTACTGCATTCAATTCTGGGCTCCACACTTTAGAAAGGATATGGAGAAGCTTGAGAGAGTCCAGAGGAGAGCCACATTCATGGTCAGACATCAAGAGAACAGGCTGTATGAGGACAGGCATGGGATTCTTCAGCCTAGAGAAGCAAAGGTTTAAGGGTGACTTGGTGGCAGCCTATAAGTACATAAGCAGTGTGCATCAGGAACTGGGAGGATCTGTTCACTAGGGCACCCCAAGGGAAGACTAGGTCCAACGATCACAAACTGCTGGAAGACCATTTTAGACTAGACATAAGGAAAAACTTCTTTACTGTCAGAGTCTGGAAAAGACTCCCCACAGAAGTGGTGCAAGCACCTATTCTGGACACATTCGGGAAGCATTTGGACAATTATCTTGCTGGGATCATCTGACCCCAGCTGACTTCCTGCCCTCTGGGCAGGAGGCTGGACCTGATGATTTCATGAGGTCCCTTCCAGCCCTCGTGTCTATGAAATTTCAAGACAAAAAAACTCTTGTATTGCAGTAGTGCCAGAAGATCTTATTTTACTAGACTTGATACCACAGCATGATGGACCTTGCTCCAAAGTACTTGTGGTGGAAATTGCAAGGCAGAGTAGTAATCTAGTTCTTAGAAGTCTGTCAGCACTCTGACAACCATGAAAATACTTTGTATACAATATAATACTTACTTTTTGCAATTGGGTGGAGAGAATCTCTGAACTTGAAGCTCCAGTTACTGCTGAAGTTGAGATGTGTGCTTCTAAAATTCGTGCACTTAAATGGCTAACAGTGGATTCTTTACCTTCAGAACTGGTTGGAAGCTATAGAAGATCACTCTGCTTACAGCACTCATTACTGCACGCAGGAGCAACTGAGTAGTGATGAGGAGGAATATGATACTGTATCTGTTGCAGAATTGGAAGAAACTCTCAAAGTATGTATGAAACTCTGGTCTGTACTCTTATAAGGAGAAAAAAGTTATAGCACCTGAGCTAAATCAGAGCAATATTGCCCAATCTGGAAATGGTACTAACTTCCTGCCCTCATTCACTTGGCTTTTCTCATGGCTGCATAAAGTGTAATAGTGTTTATACCATTTTATATGATGTCTTATTCTTGGATACTGCATGTGTAATACAAATTGAAGTTAGTCCATTTTGGTGGGAGTAGTTTTGAAAATTACCAAGTGATAGTATGTCATTGTTATGACTTCTGATCAGCAGAGGGAGCTTCACGCTTGATTTGGTAGTAACTAGACTTCACTGCGACAGTGAGGTCTAGTTTTAATTAGCCACTGGAAAAACTCCTCACTATGCTCTTACTAGTTTGTTCACTTAATCATTGCCAGAATCCTTTTTGCTTGTATGCAAAATGTTTTGGCTAATTTTATCTTTTAAAGTATAATTAGTCACTTTAAAATATACATGCATACTATATCTTTAGAATTTGTTTCTGATAATTGGCTTATAATTGACTTATACCCTCTATCGCACCTGTCAAGCTAGCTGCTGCTTGCAAAGCATTTAATACTTGTCAGTCTTTCTTGGCTTAGCAAGATAGACTATACGTTTTGCAGAACTCTCTCTTCTGGCAATAAATGCAAAGCAAAATTTTCTTTTATCTCAGTCAGTTTAATTCTTATAGTGAGCACTATGAATTTCTGTAGTATAAAATGTGTGTACAATAAACTTTTTTTTTTTTTTACAGATAAAAAAATCTAGCTTCTCATATATTTCACACTCAAGATTCATGTACCATGTTTTCTTCATTATAAATGTCAAATCATTCTCATCTTTCACACCATATTGAGACGGGCATCTTAAGAAAAGGCTACTGATTATTAGCCATCTGTTTTATAATTAGCTTTTGTTACAATAAAATCTGATTTTTAAACTGAGGATTGGTATTTTAAAACATAGAATGCAAGCCTCAGCAATATACTAGTCCAATCTATAAACTCCATTTAAAATGGGCAACTAAACATGTACATAATGACTATTTTTAATGTATAGGTCCCTAACCTGAATTCTTATATTGACTTAATACAAGGCAAACTACAACTTCAAGAAAGTATCTGAGAGGGTCTTTGGTGTTCCGTGAAACACAGTTTATTCTGTGGTACTGATTCTACATTCAAACTGGTTTCACAAAACTTGTCTATTTCACAAACAGAATCTGAGTGTGTGGTGGGGAAGAAAACAGTTGTATCCATAAGGCTCATACTGTAAAGACCTTTTGAAGGAGGACTTTGAAGTGGTGTGTACCTCTTTAAGGCTTTTACCATAGGCCCATAAGGCCCACACCTTTTCTCCGTAAGGTTCTGTTTGGCTTAGAAATGTTAGGGTAGCTTGGGTAATCAGTTCCAGCCCTCCTGTGGCATTCTCCAGAAAACTTCTTATTCGTCTGCCGTTAAAGTTGGTTCCTTTGGACTTAAGATGATCTGGTCTTCTTCAAGCTTCCATGCTGTTTGGGTGACACTGAAGTAGAAAGTTTTCAGAAGGCTAAACTGTCTCTGAGCAGAATAACTTAAGTGTTAGAGACCAGTTTATGCTAGCATGCTTGCAGTGCCATGAGTGCAGTTTTGAAACAGTAGAAGTTTGACAAATTCTGAATGTCCTGCTATTCCTCTGAGCAAAGTACACAAACCAGATCTGCAAACTGGCAATTAGGACAGAATTTAAAATGGTGTGCTTCATAAGACACTTCGCAAGGAACCTGTTCTGATATTGGCAGTTGTACACGCTGCTCAACTCACACCTGTGGGCCTTGGAGATGTCATGGTTCTACAAGGTCCTAGAACGCTTCTGGAGCAAATATGAACTGCACAAAGAGGCCCCAGAGACCCTGACGAACCACCATAAGATGCAGGCAGTGGTAAGGGCAAAAGATACTGTCATCCATGGACGTACTACTTGGCAACAGCTGCTGGGCCATATGGGAGTGCTTTTTCCACAACCTCTAGAAAGAGCACAGGAACATGAACTGACAGGTAGTCTATTGGGTGCTCCCCATGTGGGTGCTGAGACGGGGCAGAGAGGCCCATTGAACTGCTCCAGGCAAACCTGCCAGTGGAAGGACACCATGTGTTGGAACTGCCTGTATGCCAGGGAGGTGTAGAGGAGAGTAATCATACTCGTCATGATGGTGACAGGGATCAAGACCCTGATCAGATTGGTGCTGTTTCAACACTTGTCCAAGCAACAAGACATCCTGACATCTTATTTTGACTAGTTCACTTCCTGTAGAAGGCCAGGCATCTCCTTGTGTGCGGACACATGAGCTAGTTGAAGACTGTCAGAATGGCACTGATTGAGCTACAGAAAGACTGTGAAAAGCAATGGGGAGAACTGCAGAGGACACATGGAAGAGAAAAGACTGGCATAGATTGTTCAGAGGCAGGACCACCTAGAGAGAACAATGATGATGATGACTATGCTGGCAACAAAGGAAAGAACTGGGGAAACAGAGGGTGGGGAGGAGGCAGGGGCGCTGAGGCAATCTTCTACGTGATTGATGGGCAAAGCAGATGGTGATAATGTAAATGTAGATGTTTGCCTTGGACTGTCAGGTGAATCATATTGGTCATGAGACCAGCCTGTAGAGGTATGCTGGGGGGGAGGGGTGTACTATATAAATCTTTTTGCAACAAAAACAAGTTTGAACTCCTATACAAATAGATACAGAAGTGCTGTGTATATGGGCAGTATGATCTAGTAGGGATCACGGAGACCTGGTGGGACTTCTCGCATAACTGGAGCATAGCCATAGAAAGCTACGCCCTGCATAGAAGGGACCAGGTAGGGAAGAAAAGTGAAGGTATTGCTCTCTGCATGAAAGAGCAGGACACCTCCTTGGAAGCTGACATCAGCTCCAAAGAAGAATGGCTTGAAACCCTTTGGATCAAGCTGTAGAGGGGAGGGTGCAGCGAGAGGGACCCAACTGTAGGTATATTCTATAGAGTTCCTCCCCCTGGTCTGGTAGTTTATCTAAAGTTTGCCTGAGAACTGATAGAGGCCATGCATGCACAAGACATGGTCAACATGGGCAACTTCAATTATTCAGACATCTCCAGTGAGGAACACTCAGCCAGGTTGGATCGGTCACGATCCTTCCTGGCCTGTGTCAAACAGCTCTTCCTGACTAGGGAGGTGTGTGGGCCAGCCAGAGGATACTCTGCTAGACTTGGTTCTGACCAAAGGAGATGATGTGGTGACCGACTTAAATATAGAGGGCAGTTTGGGCAACAGTGACCATGAAACCATCACATTCACTATCTGTTGCATGGTAGACAAATCTGATAGCAGGGTAGAAGTATTAGACTCCAAAAATGCAAATTCCTACAAGCTCAGGTCGCTAGTAGAGGAAGTGCTGCGGGACTAGGGATGGAAGGCGAAAGGTTTGCATGAAGAGTGGTCATTCCTTAAGGACACAATCCTTGAAGCACAAAGAAAGTCCATTCCCATGTGGAGAAAAGGTAGCAAAAGGCCTGGGAAGCCCTCTTGGCTAAACGAGGAAATTGCAGTCCTCTTAGAAGAAAGAGGCTTATAACAATGGAAGCTTGGGGCAGGCCCCAAGTAGGACTATACAACAATGGCCTGCACTTGTAGGAAACAGATTAGAAAGGCTAAAGCAGTGACTGAACTTATTAGCAACAGGAACCAAGGACAACAAGAAGTTCTTCTTTAAGTACATTGGGAGCAGGAGGAAAACAAATGGGAGTATAGGACCATTGCTCAACAACTCAAGACAGCTGGTTATCAGCACTCAGGAGAAAACTGAACTCCTGAATGAGTATTTTGCCTCAGTATTTCACCAGGCCAAGGGAAAAATCATGCTGGGTAGGAATGACAGTCTTCTTACTACTGCCATAGAATTGGTGAGAGATCAAATAATTAAAAAAAAAAAAGACACAAACTTCATCTGAGAGTGGTGAAGGAGTTGGCTGAAGTCATCGCAGAACTCCTGGCGAAACTCTTCCACAACTTGTGGCACTCTGGAGAGGTCCCTGAGGACTAGAAAGCCAATGTTGTGTCATTCTACAAGAAGAGGAAGGAGGACCTGGGGAACTATAAGCCAATTGGCATATTTTCTGTGCTGGAACACTGGGAGAGGGTTGTCGATGTATAAATGGAAACCTTATAAATCTATCTATTAAATCTAATTATTGGGGGATTGTCTTATATTTAGGGTTGCTTCATATTCAAGTAAATGCAGTAACTGATAATTAATGCAAACTTCTTTTGACCCTTCTGACATGTTGGTTCTAGACAACAAATGGCTTACCTGAAGTCTGGTGTTGCCCAGACTCATTTTTTAATGTAACAGAAATTGTCGAGACTCCGGGAACACTTTCTTTTTTGCCTAAATATATAACTTGGGAGATATTGGATTAGACATGGCTAGACTTAAATGCTTAAGAAATCTAGCAGCCTAGATGTTTTCCTCTTTCTTACTGCATCTAGACATTTTCTTGCCACAAATTTTTAAATGCAACTGCTCCAACTGAAATATTGCCTAGAGTAATGTACAGTTTACTCTTGTGAGGTGGCTGACTTCAACATGTGATGGCTTATTTACCACGTCCTTCTACCTGGTATGAGCTTGCTATAACTGGAGAACACAATAGCACTATTCCCCTTCATTGGAGAAGCAGCATCCTATGTCAACAACTTGTAAATAATTCTGCTCCAGTTGAGCTAAAATTACTTCATGGGAGTTTTAAAAATTTATACTGTGAAATCCAAGTACTTGGCTGTGTCACCCTGAAATAACTGTACTTCCAGAGCCTGGCACACATCTCTGGCAGCTTTTTCACTTACAGATGTAAGTTGTCAGCCTGAAACCCCTCTTGGTAGGGAACAAACATTTGTGGAGGTGGTGTTATTATTTTGCCTCAGTCTGTAGATCTGATTTAGATTCATCAAAAATTAATGATTTCTTAATTCTGCAAACACAAATATAGACTGTAGCTCCTGTTCAGAAATAAAAAATTATTTGGGGCTTCTGAATTTGGGATGTTTTGTATAAGTGGATGTCTCGGCAGCATTCTAGAACCTTGGGACCTAATCCTGAATGCAATATCTGCACCTGCTTGGGCTTGCACCTCCTAAAATGAAGCCATGGCTTGAACTTTATAGCTTGTCAGTACTAACTCATTTTTTAACTGGCCAACATGCAAGGGCAAGGTTAATGGGGAAATGGTTTCCTTGGATTCTGAACTTAATTGTTTCTTAAGTTTGAATTACAGCACAGCCCTAGTTTTTGGCTTGCAGTGGTACTTGAGTGAAATGCACCTCAGACAAAGAACTGGAACTATAGGCACGGAAGTTTAATGCTTGGAAAAACTTCAAAACATAAATGTGGTGCATTTCAGGCTTTGCTCTTTTTCTCCCTTCTCTCGGAGACCTGAAAGAGAATACATTGGTTCTCAGAAACTTGTATGTGTCCCTCCAGCTATACATTTCATCCAACAAAAGATCTCGCTCTCAGAAATGTCTTTTAAAAACGCATGCCATACCTTCTAGTATACAAGTTGCAACCCCTGCTACCCTCCAAAAGGATGATATTGTAGAAACTTAAGTTGACTGAATTTCAAATTTATCACAATGGCTTCAGTTTTGTTACATAGCTGCACATTATAATATACCTTGGACTAACTTTTTCAAGGGAGGAAAAGTGTCTTGTACACCAAAAAATACTGTAAGCTACTTGTGACTTGCATGTAGTATTTTGTCTGTCTGATTTTGGGATGAAATTTTTCAAAACACTTTGCTTTCTCTGAAGAGTACTAAAATTATTTAATATAGATGAAACGTGAATACTTTTTTCAGGTGCTTGTTTTGAAATGTTTTTTTAATTTCTTCTAGAAAGCACAAACATGCCAACAAAGACTAAATAAGGAGATTACCGACTTCCTCTCAATGGCTAAATCACTGGATACTGCACGAGGTAAAACTAGTAAACTTCAGCTTTACAGTTTCATGATGTGCTGCCTTTTTACTTCCCAAGCAGCTTCTTAAAGATGGGCTTCTTAATGAACTAAACGTTAACTAGAATCTTCAGAAGCTTGCAAGATTTCATAGACATTAGGGCTGGAAGGGACCTCAGGAGATCCCTGAGTCCAGCCTCCTTCCCCAGAGGCAGGAGTCAGCTGGGGTCAAAGGATCCCAGCAAAATAAAAGAACATGACAACAACTGTTTTAAATTACCAATCAAGAATAAGTCACTTTCCAGGAATAGGTAACAGCTGTTGCTTTAGTAGCTTCTCAAAAG